ATAAGCCATTAAATTTTAAAAGTGAAGCACAGTTACATTCTGCTAATTGCACAAATATTGTTTAGAATTTAAGGAGTTTGATAAATGGGGGCGCCTGGGTGGCTCAGTCAGTTAAGCGTCTGCCTTTAGCTCAGGTGGTGATCCCGGGGTGCTGGGACAGAGCCCCATATGAGGATCCCTGCTCAGCAGGGAGCTTGCTTCTCCCTCTCCCTCTGCCTGCTCCTCCCCCTCCCTCTGCCTGCTCCTCCCACTGCTTGTACTCTTTCTGTCAAATAAATAAATTAAAAAAAAAAAAAAGACTTTTGACAAATGTATAAACTTGGCAACCAAGATATAGAAAGTATCCAGAAAGTTGCCTTCTGTACCTTTCTAGTAGCTCTTTCAAAGTTCAAAAGAAACTGCTAATTTGATTTCTATTCCTGTAGATTAGTTAGACCATCATATTGCTGGGATTGTATAGTACCTATTTTTTGTGTCTGTCTTCTTTCACTCAACAGGCTTTGAGATTCACTCATGTTGTAGTATCAAGTGTATATTAGTATGAAGAGTAGCCTGTTGCAAGAATCAATCACAATTTATTCATCCAGTCTTCTGTTGACAAACATTTAGGTTATTTTAGACTCTTTAGTATTTTGAATAAACTAGCTATTCACTTTGAATGAACAAGTTTTCTTTTTTCCCTAATAGGATGAGAAATATGAACCATCTTCAGAAATCTCTTATTCATAAAGTTAGATTGAGTGTAGGTAATTTAATGCTTGTTTGATTCATGGCAGTAGCAATAAAATAATTACAGATGTTTTTTTAAGGCTACTCTATCTTTATATTCTAGTCTGATGTATATAACTCAGTCACTTAATGACATAAACTGGGATTAGACTCTTGTAACCCTCAGCTTCTCTGGGTCCAGAAAGGCAAAAAGAGGTGTTATAATGAGTGTTTGTTTATTTTCTTTTCAAGAACAGACTCACTGAAAGTTATGATCTAAATCTTGTAGTAAAACATTTCTTACCTTTTGGGTAGATATAACTTTCTGATGCCCAAGGACTTTGTTCCCATGCCAGTTTGGATTAGAAAAGGGAGAAACTCTAATCTTACTTATCAGTTTCTCTTTGAAACTGTGTGTGTGAGGATTGAGAAAAGAAAACTATAGTATAAGGCTTTCTTTTAGTATGTTATTTTACAACCCATGGGAGAATAGGAGGTGAAGAGCTGGAATAGCTCAAAGTGAAACCTAGAAAGGAAGGGGTGGAGGTAAGGGTTATAAAATGATATAATTAAAACTTAATTAGGTTGAAATTTCTTTCTATCAAAGTTCCTTCACAAATTCCTTTCTCTGCTTCACAAAGATGTAATTTCATTTATAATTGTATATCTGTCCTTTATTTAAGGTCAAATAAATAACAATCTTATCAAGATTTTCTGTATCCTTCTGCAAAACTGTTATTAAGGATGTGTTCTAGGTCAGATTTTTCTTAAACTGGGGTCTTCAGGTCCCCAGGTCTAGAGATACATACTTAGCAGTCTGAGAGTTCTACCAATGTTTTAATTTAGACTTGTGTTTAAGCAGTGTTGCTTAAAACAGTATTTTACTACACATTAAATGAAAACTTGTCTTTTGCTATGATAACTCACAATCATAGACATTTTCCTAAAGTAAGGCTTTACTTTCTTTTTTATTGTGGGAAAATAGATATAATCTTTTTTTTTAATAATTTTTTTAAAAAAAATATTTTATTTATTTATTTGTCAGAGAGAGAGAGGGACAGAGAGAGCACAAGCAAGGGGACAGGCAGGCAGAGGGAGAAGCAGGCTCCCCACTGAGCAAGGAGCCAAATGCGGGACTCTAACCCAGGACCCTGGGATCATGACCTGAGCTGAAGGCAGACACTCAACCGACTGAGTCACCTGGGCTTCCCTAAAATTTACTCTTTTAACCATTTTTAAGTGTATAGTTAATTGGCATCAAGTACATTCACATTGTTATGTTGACTTTAATTTCTCACAGTAGTATCTCTTAAAATGGAATTTTCAAGAGTGTTGGAAAAATTCAAAAAAATTCTTTCCCTTTAAAAAGAGTTTGTGGGGTGGGCGCCTGGGTGGCTCAGCTGGTTGGGCCACTGGTTTCAGCTCGGGTCATGATCCTGGAGTCCCAGGATCGAGTCCCGAGTCCCGCATTGGGCTCTCAGCTCTGCGGGGAGTCTGCTTCTCCCTCTGACCTTCTCCCCTCTCATGTTCTCTCTCACTCTTTCTCTTTCTCAAATAAATAAATAAATAAAATCTTAAAAAAAAAAAAAAAAAGAGTTTGTGGGGTGCCTGCGTGGCTCCATCAGTTAAGTGCCTGCCTTTGGCTCAGGTCATGATCTCTGAGTCCTGGGATTGAGCCCCTTGTCTGGATCCCTGCTCAGCAGGGAATCTGCTTCTCCCTCTCCCTCTGCCACTACCCCTGCTTGTGCTCCCATGTGCACGCTCTCTCTGTGCCAAATAAATAAATAAAATATTTAAAAAAATAAAAAAGTTTGTATATTACTCAGGATTAGGAGTCAGTATTCTAGGTTATAAATTCCACTCACGATATGGATTCTTTCTCTTTTTTAAAATTTCTATTTTGAGAGAGAGAGACAGAGAAAGAGTGCACACCTGAGCAGGGAGGGGCAGAGGGCGAAAGAGCAAGAGAATCCTAAGCACGCTCCAGGTTCAGTACAGAGCCCAAAGGGGGACTCAATTCCAGTGACCCTGAAATCAAGAGTTGGAGGTTTAACCAACTGAGCCACCCAGGCACCTTTAGATTTTTTTCTCTCTTGATAAAAATGATTATTTTTTTCTTTAGCTAACAAGAATGATATAGACCATTATGTTTCTTTCCTGAAATACAGAACAAAATTCAATAATTGTAAGCATTTTCTCTGTTCCAAATATAGTTATTTGCCTATACTGTATATTTTACCTTTGATAATCACAAATTTTCTGATTTTACATGGGTTATAACATACCTTGTTTCAAATTCTTTTTAAGTAGTTTTAAAAAATTTTAAAAGATTTTTTAAAAATTCTGAAATTTAAAAAAAATTTTTAAAATTTTAGCTTAAAAATTTTTAAAAAGATTTTATTTATTTATTTGACAGAGGGAGACACAGTGATAGAGGGAACACAAGCAGGGGGAGTGGCAGAGGGAGAAGCAGGCTTCCCGCTGAGCAGGGGGCCCAATGCAGGGTTGGATCTCAATACACTCGGAACATGACCTGAGCTAAAGGCAGATGCTTAATGACTGAGCCACCCAGGCTTCCCTTTAAATTTTTTTTTAAGATTTAATTTATTTATTTGACAGAGAGAGAGAGGGAGAGAGAAAGAGAGCACAAGTAGGGGGAGGAGCAGAAGGAGAAGCAGCAGGAGCCAGCTCCATTCCAGGACCCCAAGATCTTAACCTGAGCTGAAGGCAGGCGCTTAACTGAGCCACCCAGGAGCCCCTAACATTTTTTTTTTTTTTAAAGTAGTTTTCAAGCCCAGCATGGGGCCCAAGGATAGGCTTGAACTCTCCATCCTGAGATCAAGACTTGAGCTGATATCAAGAGTGGGATGCTTAATTGACTGAAACACCCAGACTCCCCAGTACTATGTAAGTTTAAAATGCACGATGAAAATTCTGGCTCAGGGGCCCCTGGGTGGCTAGGTGGGTTAAAGCCTCTGCCTTCGGCGGGGGTCATGATCTCAGGGTCCTGGGATAGGGCCACATTGGGCTCTCTGCTCGGTGGGGAGCCTGCTTCCCCCCCAACCCCCCCCCCCCGCCTGCCTCTGCCTACTTGTGATCTCTGTCTGTCAAATAAATAAATAAAATCTTAAAAAAAAAAGAAAATTCTGGTTCAAAGTAATAGACTATATAAATCATAGGCGAATTCAATCTAAATTTCAGAAATTCTTTTATTCAGTAATAGCAACTAACGTTTTAAAAATAGTTGCAGTGAATGTGCCTGGGCATTGTGCTAATCAATTACCCGGAATAGCTAGTAAAACTCTATGATGTACGTACTGGTATCACCCCCATTTCACAGTTTCCAAGAAATGAAGAATCTTCTGCAATGGCCTGAAGCATTTTTTTTTTTTTAAAGACTTTATTTGACAGAGAGGGATCACAAGTAGGCAGAGAGGCAGGCAGAGAGAGAGGAGGAAGCAGGCTCCCCAAGGAGCAGAGAGCCCGATGTGGGGCTCGATCCCAGGACCGTGGGATCATGACCTGAGCCGAAGGCAGAGGCTTTAACCCAGGGAGCCACCCAGGCGCCCCCTGAAGCACTTTTGTTAGGACTCACGTACGGCTGACTTCCAAAGCTCAGACTTCTAACCATAGTGCACCTTGAATCCCATACTTTGCATGATTGATGGTTTTCTGAGATTCTTTGTGGTGCTCACTTCTGGCCCCAACGAAGTCGAACCCTGTTTTCTAACAATTGTTTTACTCTTCCACCAAGTCGCTTATTCTGTCAGTCCTTTTAGTGGAGTCCTAGCCCACCCTCTGACCCTGGTCCCCCTAAAAAGTCTCGTCCCATGAGATCCTCGTGCCTCAAGAGTCCCTTCCCCTCCCACCTTGGCAACCACAGCAGGACCCTGTACCCTCATACCTTCGTCTGCCTTAAGAGTTGGTCCCTTCAGACCATGATCTCCTACCAGGGCCCCAACTCCTCAGACAGGTGATACTAGCAGAGCCATTCCCTCGGGCTCTCGCCCCCCAGAGTCCTCAGACTCTGTTTTCCAGCACGGCTGAGATTCTTGTACCCAGAAGACAGCAATACCCCTCACAAAGCTTCGCAGGCACTTCTCCCTACAAAGGTCCTATCCCAACCCCTAAGTAAAGGGCACTTCTCTACCTTTCCCTTTCCAAACTTCTCCCAGAATAATGCGGGGTTTTTTTCCCTATTCTTCCCTTTTTCTGCTTCTTATTCAGGCTCCCCAACTTCCCCCACCATCTGGTGGCCGGGTTTCAGTTCCCGGAGCTCCCCCAAAACTTACCCAACGTCCTCTCTTCAGGAGAGTTGCGATCCCAAGCCGCTCCGCGCTTTACCTCTCACCTTGGTTAGCTCGGGGCCTCTCACTAGACTCTCGCTCCACTCGCCCCGCCCTGAAAGCGCCTTTCAGCCAGTCTTCGCCCGAAGCCCCGCCCCCTCCAAACCTATTGGCCACCACTCGAAAAAGTCCCGCCTCTTCAGCTTCCAGTCCTCCTCCCTGTCCCGCTTCCCTTGTTTTCATTCCCCCTGTCACACGAGGCAGTGGCAAACCCAAGGTGGGAGGGGCGAAGTAAAGGGTGGGACAGGGGGTGCGGAAAGAGGGCGGAAAGTGAAAGGCATAGAGCGCCTCTCTTTCCCCTGTCTGACTCGGTTCTCTACTGCTCCGAGCAGCCGTTGTATTGTGGGATCGCGGCGCCGTGCCGGAGACGCTCGGAACCACAGGGGAGCCCGCTCACTAGCGCCTCCTGTTGTCCGTAAGGCTACCCTGCCATTCCTCGGAGCCCAACTCCCTCCACCCCCCCATCGCCTCCTCCTCCATCCTCCAGTTCAAAATGGCGGCGGCGGCAGCAGCGGCGGCGGCGATGGCTCCTCCGGGCTGCCCGGGTTCGTGCCCCAACTTCGCCGTTGTCTGCTCTTTCCTGGAGCGCTACGGGCCGCTGCTCGACCTGCCTGAGTTGCCGTTTCCCGAGCTAGAGCGAGTGCTGCAGGCGCCGCCGCCGGACGTCGGCAGTGGAGAAGGTAAGCAAGGGGCCCGAACGCCCGGCGGGAAGCGGCCCTGGCACGCTCCTTCTCTCCTCTCTTCACGGACCTCCCAGGCCTTAGCGGCTCTGTCCTTCCCCTGGGGCGCCGCTCCGCCCGGCCCGGCTTCTCCGCCCAGCCCCCAGGGTCTTGGGCAGTGGGGAGGCGGGGCAGAGACCCCCTAGGGCCACTGGGCCTGGCGCGGAGCGGAGGTGGGGGCGTCGCAGGCTAGGTGTGGGCTGGGGGCGTGGAGTGGTCATTGTGCTGGTCGGCGGCCCCTGGGACTGTTCTCCGGCGGCAGTGGCCGGTCCTCCACCCCTTCTTCCCCTGGGTGGCGGGGGAAGGGGAGCGCAGGTTCCGGCCAGCTTTGCGCTTTTCTCCTCCTCCCCTCCCTTGCTCCTTCCCCTCCTCCCACCATCCTCCCCACCATCTCGGGGGAGGCTGGGCTCATCTTCTCGGGGCGCCCCTTTCTCTCCCTCCACCTGGGTGGGCGGGGGCCAGCGGACACTTCAGCTCTCCCTCCCTCTAGTGGGAACTCCCCCGAGAGAGTCGCTCTCGTCTCTCTTCCCTTCCCCTCGAGGGCTGGTTTAACCCCCAAAACTCCTTCCTCAGAGTAGGGAGGTTTGCTCCTCCCCCATGGGAGGGGGTCCTCCTCCATTCTCGCTTTGGGGGTCTAAGTCGGTTCAGCTTCTCCACTTTGGAGGGTAGAGGGTTAATTTTTCCTCCCCCATAGTTTTCCTCCTTCCTCTCCCCACCTCCCCCCAAATAATAGGAAAGCATCTCCCCACTTTTCTAATCCCTTCCCCCTTCATCTTGGCAGCAGGGCTTAGGGGAAGAAGTCGCCCTCCCATTTGCAGGGTGGGGTGGGGTGGTTAGTATGTAGGCTGGAGGAGGGGCTCAGACGGAGGGGGAAACAGTTGAAGAAGGTGCTTGTTGCTCATGTTTCTCTCTCTGGTGCTGCTGGTCTATTATTGGTGTTCGCAAGTGGTGCTCCTTCCACATAAGGCCACCGCGCGGGTGCAGGGCGCATGCTCTGCCCGGCCCCATTGAAACTTCCTGCTGCTGCTGCTGCTGCTGGAGCATCTCAGCGCTGTGCCTGCTGCCTCCAGCCTTTACACTGATCGCGTACACTCACGCTTTATTTATTCCCGATCCATGTCTCTCGTTTCCTGGCATATTTCTTCCTTCAGAGGAGGGTTTTTTGTTTTGTTTTGTTTCTTTTCTTTTTTTCTGTTCTTTTTTTTTCTCCCTGTGTTCTGAGCATTGCCTTTATATGGGAACAGCTCTTGGCTGGAGAAGAGACGTTTTCCAAATAGATGTTTTGTTTTGTTTTGTTTTGTTTTTTGGCCCGTATTAGGTTGCTAAAGTGGACTGGGTATTGTATAAGACAGATAGCTATTTCCGTTCTAAGAAAACAAGGTTGCTCTTCACTTCTCAATGGAATTGAAGAAGTTTGTTAACCGAATGTATTTACATTTCAAGGAAGGGTCCAGGTGTGAAGTTTTTCAAAATAATAGCTTATAGAGTAAATGTTGTGGCTACTAAAGACTCAGGTTAATATAGCAGTTATGGTACAGGCCTATATCTCTTCTTACCAATAGCCCAAATCTCTACCCTTAGCAAACTGTGGCATATAATAGGGTAGGGTTTTTTTTTTTTTAATTGTTGTTTTTAAATTAGAGAGAGTGAGAATCCACAAGCAAGGGGGAATGGCAGAGGGAGAGGGAGAAACAGGCTCCCTGCTGAACAGTAAGCGTGACAAGGGGCTGGGTCCCAGGACCCTGGCATCATGGCCTGAGCCAAAGGCATACTGGCTGACTGAGCCACCCAGTCGCTCCTAAAAGGGTAATTTTTAAATGTGGTATAAAATAGGAGTGATGAGTTACATTATATAAAGATTTCCTGCAGAATTTCTTTAACACTTTAGCTTCCCAATATAGTTAATTATCGAATTACATTTACATTCAAGTTTTAGAGAAGTAGTCACTGTGAAGTAGAATGCCTTAATAAATTGCTTTTAGGATACCTTTGGAAGTAATAGTAATATATGTATCTGGGAGAAATTTGGGAATTTGGGGAAAAGGATAGTTGGCAAATTGTTTTTGGAATTTGCTTGGACCAAGTTTAAAGGCAGGCATAGACCTGTGATGGCAAGACAAGTTGTCTTGCCTTCCATTCCTTTTAAGTATTTTGGCCACCGCATTTGGCTTGTTATAGAAGAAAAGGGTAGAAGGGTCAGTTTGATAGTTCCTGTTACCTTTCCATCTAGAGTTGAACAGTGGACTGCCAGCTAAGTGAAAAATGAGAAATATTCTGGGCTGAGAGATTATACCAGTGGGCTCAGCCACTGTATCTATAATAATAGATCTTGTCATAATGTGATTAAGAATAATTATTAATTAATGCTACACAGTTCCACATACTTGGCAAATGAAAAGTCTCTGCAGGTGAAATGCCGTTACTGTTCAGGGAAAAGATTTTCAGGCCTTTGGTGATGGTTAACCTACTTGTAACAGGTAGATTAAACAATACTGGTCCAACCAACAAGATTTGTACTGAGTCTTTTTGGAAAGGAGTTGTGTACTAGAAAGAATGAAAAGACACTGGTTTTAGGGGCACCTGGCTGGCTCAGTGGGTTAAGCCTCTGCCTTCAGCTTGGGTCATGATCCCAGGGTCCTGGGATTGAGCCCCACATCGGGCTCTCTGCTCAGTGGGGAGCCTGCCTCTCTGCCTACTTGTGATCTCTGTCAAATAAATAAATAAAATAAAAAAGACACTGATTTTAGCATGGAACAGTAATATATAAGTTGTAGAAAAAATTAACTTAATTTCTATATACCTCGTCTCCTGAGTAAATAGAGATAATATCTCAGGATCAAATGAAATATTTCAAAAGTCCTTTCATAAACCAAGCACTTACAGTGTTCTTGTATTACAGATTTTTTTAAAAGGTTTTATTTATTTGACAGAGAGAGAGATGGTGAGAGAGGGAACATAAGCAAGGGGAGTGGGTGAGGGAGAAGCAGACTCTCCCCTCCCATCCCCACAAGGAGCCCAATGTGAGGCTCCATCCCAGGGCCACTGGGACCATGACCTGAGCCAAAGGCAGATGCCCAAAAACTGAGCCACTGAGGCGCCCCTGTATTACAAATTTTATTAAAGATGTTTGTGGGATAGAAGATACACCAGTGCATTTGGAATTAAAATATTGAATTCTTAGCATGTTATGAGACTAAGGGTATGAGCACAAGTATAATATTGAGCTATTATGCTATTTGGGAAAAGTCTTTGTTACAATCAATTGTGTTTTGCTCTATGTGAAATTGTATTTTTTTTAAAGATTTTATTTATTTATTTGATAGAGATCACAAGTAGGCAGAGCAACAGGCAGAGAGAGAGGGAGAAGCAGACTCCCTGCTGAGCAGAGAGCCCGATGTGGGGCTCAATCCCAGGACCCTGAGATCATGACCTGAGCCGAAGGCAGAGGCTTTAACCCACTGAGCCACCCAGGCGCCCCAATGTGAAATTGTATTTTTAAAAGGAAGTTCTTAGTGCTGCTGAATCCTAGTTTATAAAACTTTTGGTTTTTCCTAGTGTGATTGTCCATTAAAAGGTGCTTTTGGAAGTATATTCTTCTGAGTTACCAGTTTAAAAACCTTTTACCTAGTCATTTTTGTCATAGGTATAGCAACATTATGGCATCCTTTTTTTTTTTTTTTTTTAAAGATTTTATTTATTTATTTGACAGAGAGATCACAAGCAGGCAGAGAGGCAGGCAGAGAGAGAGGAGGAAGCAGGCTCCCCTAGAGAGCAGAGAGCCCGATGCGGGGCTCGATCCCAGGACTCTGAGATCATGACCTGAGCCGAAGGCAGCGGCTTAACCCACTGAGCCACCCAGGCGCCCCTTATGGCATCCTTTGAAGGAGACTGTAGTTCTCTATATTGTCATTGTTTAAGCACTTTATAATCTTTTCCCTAAAAATTTGTTCATAAGTTTTTATTTGACATTGTGGCTTCAGCTTAGAATGTTTATTTGGTTTAAATGTGAATGATTTAGTAACAATTGGCATTTATTGAGCATTTACTATGTACAGATATCATCTCATTTGTCATAACTGTTCTTTGAGGTTGGTACTATTACTCCTATTTGGCAGGCATAGATTAGTTTCTATGCCCGGTACCCAAGATTATACAATATCTGATTTCTTTTTCTTTCTTTTTTTTTTTTTTTCCTTTTTTTAAAGATTTATTTATTTATTTTAGAGGCAGGAGGGGAGAGAGTGCATGTGCTCACTTGTATAGTGCGGGGAGACAGAGAGAGAGAATCTCAAGCCGACTTCCTGGTGAGCGTGGTGCCTAT